TTTACAAGACGAAACAGTTCTAAAGATCTGTAGCACAACAATGTAAATACACTTAACACTACTCAACTGTACATTTAAAAATGGTTAAGATAGTAAATTAAATGTTATATGTTTTTTTACCACAATAAAAAAAAAACTGAAGGGGCTATATTAATACTTGACAAAACAGACTTTGAGACAAAACACTCTAGAAATAAAGAGAGAATTTTCATAACGATTAAAAGGATCAATACATCAGGAAAACATAACAATTATGTCTTTATGTACCTACTATCAAAGCTTCAAAATACCTTAAGAAAAACTAACAGAACTAAGGGGAGAAATAGGCAAATCCACAAACATAGTGAAAGATTTTAAGACTTGCTCTTGACAATCAATAGAACAACTAGACATCAAAAATTCAGTAAATATATTGACTATCAAGAAAACACTATAGTCCAGGGTTGGTGAACTACAATCTACAGGCCAAATCCCACAAACGAAGTTTTCTTGGACAACAGTCACACCCATTTGTTTACGTATTGTCCATGCCCCTCTGTGGCTGCTATCACAGAACTGAGTAGATGCAACAGAGACCACATCGCTTGAAAAGCCTAGAATAGTTAATATGGGCCTTTCACATGAAAAGTTTGCTAACTTTCTATTCATTTCAAGAGTTTGTGATTGCTGTTGGAGCATTTGCATAATAGCTGCTTTAAAGTCTTTGTCACATAATTCCAACATCTGTGTTGGTGTCTTTTGAGGGTATTTTCCCATGTGAGTTGAGATTTTCTTGGTTTTTCATATGCCAAGTAATTTTGAATTTTCTACTTGAAAATTTAAATATTATGTAATGAGACTCTAGGTTTTGTTTAAATCCTATGGAGAACACACATATTTTTGTTTTAGGCAATAGACCTTCTACGAGTTCAGGCTACAAGTTCAACCTACCTTCTGTGAGCTGTGGTTCAACTATAAATTCAGTTTTCAAAGCCTTTGCAGTGCCATTCAGATAGATCCTGAATATGTTCTACTCAGTGGTCATACGGGGCCTGGCTGATGATCTGTTAGTTCCATTCTTAAAGTCACTGGTATAATGATCAGATCCATGTGTACATAGCTCGGTGGTGAGCCTGGAAATTTATATACAACTTTATAGAATTTCCCTTTAAGTTAAAGAAGAGCTCTTCTCTCTCCACAATCTCCCCAGTATTTTCTAGTTCCCTATAATTCCCCTTTTGGTTCTACGGCCAGGAAGCTGGGGCCAGAAAGTTACGCCACTGGTGGATACTTCTGTTACTGCTTCCATCTTTGGCCAAGTGTCAGAGGATAGGGAGGGGAAAAAAGCAAATAGAGATTGGTCAATTGGAGAGGAATATTCCCCTTCCTCAGAGTTTTGGCTCCTGCTGGCTCCCGCTGTAGCCTTTGCTGCTGCCACCACAGGATGGCTTGAGGGCTGGAGCTCAAGAACATGAAGAGAAAGGAAAAAAGCACGCAGAATTCCACATGCTCTTACTGGGTGTTAGGCATTTCCTGTTACTTAGCCAGGAATCAAGGGTCTCTCTCCACACACACTCTAGTGCCCACTTCTGGGCTTCAGGCTGCACTGCATTCAGGCAAGCAGATATCAAGCAACAAAAATGGTAAACTCACCTTTAGTTTGTCGGTACTTCAGGTCTTTTCCATTCAGTCTGCTCCTATTTACTTTTCAGTTTTCCTATGGGTGCTCAATGCATTCTGTCTAGGCATTATAGTTGCATTCAGTGGGAGAGTCAGGAAGGCCAGTGTGGCAGGGTGAGGGTGGGGACGTGTAACAAGGTGAGGTCTCAGGTGAAGCACTGACCAGCCAGGCACTTGTGTTCCAAGTGCAATGAGGAACCTGGAGAGGACTCTGAGCAGGGACACTCCGTGTCCCCCAAATTATTTACATTTTAAGAAGGTTGCTTTATCTGCCCTTTTAAGAATGGACTGGGAGAGAGAAAGCAGGAAAGAGAGGAAGCAGAACAAGAATGTAGGGGGCTGTGGTTAGGGGTGCAGGCAAAAAGAGAGTGGCCAAGGAGTGAAGAGAAGTGGGCAGTCTTGATTTGCTTTTGGCAGGGAGTCTGCAGGCCCTGTGGGAAGATTGGCTACAAGGGGTGGAGAGAGGAAGCAGCAATGAGGCTTGGTGGGGCTAAGATGGAAGAAACTGGGAAGCGGGGCAGATTGGTGGGAGAAATCAAGGTGGTATTTGGGCCCCAGTGCATATGAGAAGACAAGGTGCACTGCAAATAGAGATGCTGAGGAAGCATCTGGATATAGCAGTGTAGTGCTCAGAGGAGAGAGAAGAGGCGCACTTGAAAGAAAATGTGCTGAGAAGCAAGGAGAATACTTGTGCATACACACATAATGCATTCCCCCTCTTTTCTGCTTTATTGGTTAGTGAAATGGAAAAAAGAATCTAGAAACAGATGCAACTATGTTTTAAAAAACTTATATATGATAGACTGGCATTTCACCTATGCCATAGGGTTTTGAGGATTACATGAATTAATACAAGATGCTTAGAAAAGTGCCTGACACACATTCAGTGTTCATTGCATCTTTTCTTTTCCTTGCTTTTTTTCTTTTCAACTTCAATGCCAATGGAAAAAGACCAGTTTACCTAGTAAGAGATCTGTGCATAACTTGCTATCCATTTGGTAAAAATGTCAGTTAAATGCTCTACCTCATACTTAACTGAAAATACATTTCATATTGATTAAAGATGTGCATGGAAGAAATCAAACTAGAAAAGTATTCGAAAAACATCTAGATGAATAGTTATGTAGCTTTAGCATAAACAAGGCCTTTTTAAGTTCCACAGAAAACCCAGACCCAATAACAAAGAGTTTGACCACATGCAAAATTCTGTATGGCAAAATGCTATAAACCATGCCAAAGATAAGAGGTAAATAATAAAGTATTGAATCATATATGACAAGCAGAGGATGAATTTCTCCAAAATACAAAGATCTCCTAGAAACTGATAAACAATCTAACAGAAGATTTCTCTTCACAAGAGAAGATACAAACTGTCCAAATATGAAAGGGGTCTTTATCTCATTAGTATTTAGGTGAATGACAGTCTTTGCCATTTCACCTATTCAATTTGACCCAACTTTTTCAAACACTGATATTGGGGGTGTGAATTGCTACATTTTTTTGGATGATGTGGCAAACAAATAAAAAAAATGTGCATATCATTCCATTCAGTAATTTCTCTTTTAGGAATTCAGATGAAAGAAATAAAAAAGCACCAGTATATTCAAAATGTTTGCTGCTGCACCGTTTGAACTAGCAAAGCACTGAAAAAAATTTAAATGTCCATCAATAGGAAAAGGGTTAAATAAATTATGGTTCATTACATTTTGTAATTTTGTCAGCTGTTAAAAAGCATGTGTGAGAACTATCTATCCTGACCTGGAAAGATGTCAGTGACTTGTTTGTTGTTAAGGAAAAAGGGAAGTTATGTATTAGGAACTAATATTCTATTTTTGGTTTTGGTATTTTGTGTTTTGGGGTGTGTGTGTGTGTGTGTGTGTGTGGTGAGTGGTGGTGTTTATACATTCATACATGTACTTATGTGTGTAAGGACACAGAAGAAGATACCCAAATGCCAATGTTGATCACCTCAGAGAAGAAGGAAAAGTGGGAAGAGCAGAAGTAATAACCTTTCTCTTGAAAAACTAAAATGTATCTATATAGATGTAAATGTATACATTTTCTTTGCAAAACTTTCTATCACTTGACTCCTTTCTGAAATTAAAAATGAAGGGTAAATAAGGGTTTAGTATCCAGAATATATTTCAAAAAAACAAAAATGAAACACACACCAACAAAAACCTCTTACGACAACTACCAAAGGGAAACAACCCAATTTAAAAATGCGCAAAGGACTGGAAGACATACAAATTGCCAACAAAACATGTCAAAAGATGCTGAATGTCATTAGTCATTAGGGAAATGCAAATCAAAACCACAATGAAATGCCATTTCACTAGGATAGTTAGAATTAAAAAACAAAAACAGAATACAAGCGTTGGTGGGGATGTGGAGAAACTGGAACTCTTGTTAAACATGGAATTACCATATTACCTAGCAATTTAACTCCTAGCTATATAGCCAAAAGAAAACAGGAACTCGAAAAAACACACGTTCGTGTTCATAGCAACACTAGTCACAATAGCTAAAGGTAGAAACAACTCAAATGTCCATCAACAAATGAATGGATAAACAACATGTGGTATACATGATGTAATATTCTTCAGCCATAAAAAGGAATGAGGTTCTAATACATGCTACAAGGTGAAGGAACCTCAAAAAACATTACACTAAGTAGAATCCAGACATGAAAGATCACAAATATGATTCTACTTATATAAAATTTCCAAAAGAAGTAAATCTGTAGAGACAGAAAGCAGATTAGTGGTTGCCAAGGCTTGGGAGCAAGGGAAGAATGAGGAGCACTGCCAAATGGGTATGGTGTTTCCTTTAGGGGTGCTAGAAATGTTTCAGAACTAGACAACAGGGTCGTTTGTGAAACACTGTAAATGTATTAAACGCCAATGAATTGAATTTCATTTCAATTAAAAATAGAAAAAACAACAACAAAAATCCCCACAGCTCTCTTGTGCATGTGCCTAGACCAGGCTGGACTGGAGTCGCTCCTCCCAGGTTGAGGCCACGCTTCTCCCAGGGGTCTCCTTGAGGCGCCCCCCCACCCCCCATCCGCCTGCCTCAGCCAAAGTCAATACGCCGGCTCACGAATCCAGAGGGAGACACAGGCTGAGGAAATGACAACAGGGGTATCAGAAAGGAGGCTCTCAGGAGAAGTGGGTGGGACACTCGGCTCCTTTACATTGCCACCCCTGCCGAGTCAAGTGTCTCCGCCCAGGATGGGGTCTGAGGAGCATCCGTGCTGGGCCCGGAGGCGGGGCCAAGAGCAGGAGGAATCCGGAACTCCTGATCGAGAACACTTGTTTCCGGAGGGAGCTTGGATGTCAAAGTACGCAACGCACGGAATCCAGCTTCCGGAGTCTCCTTTTGTTACCGGGTCTTGCGGGGTGGAGGGTACTGCAGTGGCGATGAGGCAGAAGCATTACCTTGAGGCTGCCGCGCGGAAACTGCAAGAGAGCTGTCCGGGCCAGGCCCGCTATCTCCTGTAAGAGAGGGACGGGAGAGGAAACGGGAGGCGGGCGGCGAGATGTTCCCTAGTTTCTTACGAGTCTCTTTCTCCTTTACAGCTGGGCCTACAGCTCGACACACGGTAGGGAGAACGTCCGTCGGTTGTGTGTCAGGCCCTCACCTCCGCGCTTCACTCCATTCCTCACCGCGCTCAGCATTATCCAAAAGAGACTCTGATCGACCCACTGCCCTCATAAAACCCTCCAGAGGCTTCTCAGTTTCGTCATAGACATTTCTTAATTTGCCTGACCGATTAGTCATCTGTGACAAATTTTGTCAAGCTATGCCTTTGAAGTGTTTCTGGCAGTCCGTGCAGTTTAATAATTTCCAGGGCATTTAAATGATATTATGTTATAGTTCTTACCAGCCTTATCCTCACTTGTTTAGGGCTCCCCTACAATTTTTTAAAGATAACTTTTGATGGTTAGTGAGTGCTTTGATTGCATAAAGGATCCAGGGCAAATCTGTCCTGTTAGCTTGTACTGAGAGAGCTACCTACAGACAAAGTCCTGCCCACAAACCACTAAATTGTGCTAATTATTTTAAAAAGAAACAATCACAGTAAAATTTGTTATTTTTTGATAAATGTGTTTGTAAAATAGGTGAGACATAAAGCATTTTTTATTTAGTAGCAAGAAATGAGCAACACAGGGGAATTACTATCTGTTGCTAAAAGGAGTGAATGGATAGAATTATAGTGTTTTGCAAAGTAAATTATTGCCAGTTTATCTTTTTATAAATTCTCATGTTTTGAGTTTGCTTAAGGGGAATGTATACCTTCTTATATTCAATAATATACTTTTTCACATTTATAATAAAGTTTGAGGTAACAAAATAGTCTGATTTGGTAAATCATGATTTTCATTTGTATAATTTTAGATGCTAAAAGCACTTTTGAAGGAACATGTCCATACTGTTTCCAGTTGCTGGTTCTGGATAACTATCGAGTGCGCCTCAAACCCAAGCCCAAACTGACACCCAGAATACAGAAACTTCTTAATCGAGAAGCAAGAAATCATACACTCAGTTTTAAAGAAGCAAAAATTGTGGAAAAGTACAAAGACTCCAAAAGTGTATTGGTAAGATTTCAATTCCAGTATGTATAAAGTAGAATTTTCTTTCACTTAAAAGGACATTAAGAATCAGCCTGGACATAACTCAGAGATTTGTTATAGTATATTTAGATTGTCAAAATATATACATAAAATATTTTCCTAGTGATTACTGTTTCATCAGTATAGCTTTTGTCACAATTACTTAAAACCAAACATCATGAGCTCTCAATTGTTCTCAGATCTTATTGTTGAGCACAGTTCTTTTCACAAATTTGAGGATTTCTTGAGCTGACCAATGTGACTTCGCCTGAACTGCATCTACCAGTAAATTATTTTTTTCAGTTAATGGTTGTTTTCTTCAAACAGCAGTACTTTATTTATTAGGTATCAGTGTCACTTCTTCAGTCATCCCCGCTCCATGTCAGTATGTATTTAAGTTTATGCCCAACAAAGGTAAGTACATCTTATGTTCATTCATGAAACCTTTATTGAGGGTCATCTTATGCCAAACAATGCTAAATATTGGGGATAAAAATGGAATAAAACAACCAAAATTAAATTACTTATGGTTTATTTTAGAGGTCTGTATCAGATATATTTTATCATTTTATCTACATTTTCTGTGTTAACATTTATCAACGTTTCCAGTGCCCGTTTCCTACCAGGCACTGACTATGCTGGGCACTGGACAATATGACCCCTTAAATCGGGCCCAAGACTCTAATTAGTAACAATTTGGATTGGAACTGCCATATTTAGGGGTTTACCAGTATTGAACAAGTAAATGCATTTTGCTTTGTCATAAAACTGCTTAACCTATATTCAGTCTCTTCAAAAAAAGGATAAAGCAAGTTATATTGACCTTTGATATATGCAGATGTTCCATTTGCATTTTCATTTGCTCATGAACATCAGAGTACTTCTCAGCTGAACTAGTTTGTGCTCATTTTGTCGAGGCCTGGGCTGAGTCCTGTGCAGTGTGAGTCAGATATGTCAAAGAAAGGCATTTAGCTAGAAAATGGGCCATTTCTTGAAAAAAGAATCCTGAAAAGAAAATCAGCCTCTAGAGCTGATGAAGTGAAGAGGTGTGAGAATGTGAGAATTCATTTGATTGGCTTTATAAATTACTTTAGACCTATAGTTACACAATTACTAAGGGTCTGAAAAGGTCACTTAAATGTTCAGTGATATTTTATGTTCTGTTGGGAAAAGGCTTGGAGTTCATCTGCAAAAAATACTAAATGTCTACTGCTATTATAAAGAACATCCCAGGGGTAAAGGGTATCACTCCCAGTCGCCTCAGTTCTCCTTAAACATGATTTTACATGGGAAAACTAGAGATTTTGTTATTTTAAAAGATGTTTTAAATACAAATGTTTAGCCATTAATTTTTTTATTGGAGAGTTTCCCCTTTTAAATTTGTTTTGTCTGATTCCTACTGCTAGGTTACAAGCCCCCCGAGGGCAGCCTCAGTTACTCACCCTGTAGTACCTGGTGTAAACCCCTATGTATAAGAATTTAATGAACATGTAGTTTATTGGATTAAATTATAAGATATATCAGGCCAAATATTTCTTCTTTTTATGGTAGTTGATCACTTGTAAAACATGCAACAGAACAGTTAAACATCATGGTAAAAGTAGAAGCTTTCTATCAGCATTGAAGAGCAATCCTACCACTCCTACGAGTAAACTCAGCCTGAAGACACCAGAGAGAAAGACTCTAAGTTCTGCAGACCTAAATCATGATGTGTCTGGTTCTAAAGGCAAAAGCCCAGCACTGATTTTCAGGTATCTTGATTCATTAAGCTATTTGAATTGCCATTGTTAACTCCTGCATGTTTCTTCTAATTTTCTGCTTAGTATACACTCCCTAAATTTGCCATGCAGTTCTGTCCTTAGTCCCTTTTATTCCTCCATACCCTTTTCTTCTTGTGTCATATACTCCCATATCTTCCATTCTTATCTCTGTATGACTTCCAGTTATATTCCTCTACTATCAGCTTCTCCCTGGGCCTGTTCAGCTGCCTGCTAAATATATCTACTTCACCCTCCCCATATGTCCCCAGAGCTAACTACTCAAACCTGCCCATCCTCCTGAGTTCTTTATTCTGTGGATAAACATACCCATTCTGACCTGAAATGGAGAGTACAGTTGACAACTCCTACCACCTTGGCCCTTGTCCAGTTAGCCACCAGTTTCTATCCCACTTTCTCTGTCTCTCTTTTTTTTTTTCTACTGCTGTTATATGTTCAGGTCTTTATTCACTTTTTGCTGGGACCACAAGAATTTTGAGTCTTCCTGTTTAGAACTCTTCTGGTCTGATTAGAAGCACCTTACTGTGAGGCATGTGGACCTCCAGCATGGCATTCCAGCCATTACTATCTGGTACCACTCTATCTGCCTGTCTTACTTTGCCTTAATTCATACTATTTGTCAACAAAACTGAAAACTCACAGTTTACTTTTCTGCTCTAAACATTTGTTCTTGCTACTTCCTCTACCAAAAATTCCTATGGAAATCTAACTGAATAGAGATTTGTCAAATGATACTAAGTTAACAATGACTGGACATATGTTTTACTTTTAGTAATCCTCAACACTCTATTCACTATGATAGTCAATAAATTTAATTCCATAGCAGCTGTAAAAGGAAATTTTGAACATTTTGTTACAAAAGAGAAACTGAGTCTGGTAGTTTCTCGAACTTAAATAACAAAATTCAGGAAGGACCTGATTATCTCTGCTTACTGAATTTTTTTATATTGGGTTTGATGTTTATAAATTGGGTAAGAATTAAAATTTCAAATCTAGTTTTCTCTGTATTCTTAATTATTTTGATATTTGGTATGATGGAAATTCATCATGGAAGTTTCCACTTTACTGGATAAACGTAGATAAAAGAAAATTTGGCATATTTAAAATAATTCACTTGCATTTAGACCAGAGCGCTTCTTCGATATATGCAGGAATGAGACAGGTATTTCACATTTATCTTACAGATGGGGAGTTACAACAGGGATCAGACTGCAAACCCCAAATAAGGGTTTGGGGGGTGGAACACAATTGGAGGGAATGAAATTGAACAAGGCATAAATCTACACATACCAGATGGGGAATCATTTATTGAGTGGATATTTTTAGAGGACCTCCTCTGTGCCTAGCACTGTTAAAAAGCACTGGAATATACAATTAGGACCATGTGTCTGCGCTATGGAGCTTACATTCTGGGGGGAACATACAATGGAATGGTACCTACATGTGTAGGTAAGATCCTTCGCTTTTGAGAAAGTAAGTGGTCTTGAGCTGAAAAGGAGAAATATGTTTTTAAAGTTCTTGCAAATCTTGATGTCAGACTTAAAAGGAACCCAGACCTGATGACACTTTACTTTTAGCCTTCTTTTTCACGTGTGATAGAATCTTCAAGAACCACTCAGTATACCAACTAAATGTTGCCTATAGCCTATTCAGTTAGGAGTAACTGTGCTGGGTACAGCCACGACTTGTATATGGCCATAATACAGAAGAGCAGAAAACGATTCTCGTAGCAGTTATCTAGGCTAAGCAGGAAGAACACTTTAAATTGTCATTTGTCAGTATACCTAAGTGTGGTTTTATGTTTCTTTTCAGAACACCTACATCTGGACAGTCAACACCCACTTGCTCCTCAAAGAATACGAGCAAAACAAAGAAACGCTTCTCTCAACTGAAAATGTTGCTTAGTCAAAGTGAATCCCAGAAGAGTCCAAAAGTGGACTTCAGAAATTTCTTATCTTCTTTGTAAAGGATGGACTATGAAAATAAATGTTTAATGTAATTTCTGAAACTAAACTTAGAAAAGAACATTTTAAAAACTTACTTTTTTTTTTTTTGGACATCTTTAACAATCCAACTGAAGTGTTATGATTTCAAAACTGATTTTAATTAAAACAAAAGCTGATGTGTGGCAATAATGTTAAGTGTTAAGGAAAGAAAATGTCAGCTGTCTTTTAAAATCCATTTTAATATGTCTTAAGGACTGGAAAATCAGTCTGGTAAGAGCTAGTGGCTGGCACTGCACTGGTATGCCGCCTGTATTCTCTGCTTCAGTGACGTGGCACCTTGGACCCAGGGCCTCTGCAGAGGCTCTTAACTTCTGGGCCAGGGGTCATCTCCAGTGGGGAAGACCTCTTTTTCAGTTGCTTTCTCAGTCCCGGACACTGTGACAGAAGTTGAGCTCTGTTCTCTTGGTCATTTGGGACAGGGTCGTAGCCCCCAGGCCTGGGTACAGCTCAAAAACAAGCCTCCTCTACAACTACCTGGATGCCTGGGACCAGCTCCCTGGCTGCTCTGTTTATTTTTAAAATACATAAAAACAAGGGTCCAAAAGCAAACTCTTCTTGGCATTTTTCAGTATGTATGGAGAAAATAACCTCATTAGAATGACTGAAATGTGCCTCCCTCACCAGGGTGGTTGTGAGGATCAAAAATACATGAACGGTCCTGTCAGTAGTAAATATATATGACATTGATTATATTAATTTCTCCTCCTTTAAGTAGCAGTTTTTTTCATTGTCATTTTCAGAAGGAAATTGAGACCTTTATGAGAGGGTCTACTCACTCCTTTCCAGGTGTCTATAGTCTTAGTACTAATTCAGAAAAAGGATCAAGTATGTGTGTACTTGTTTTTCCACAATCACCTGCATAACTGTATATTAGTAAAATCTGAACATTATTTCTATTTTGCATGCAAAGGTATGTGGGATGTGGGGCATTACTGATTCTAGATGATTCGGATACCAAATATTTCATTTTTACAACATCCTGTTGTTTCTTTGCTAATGTCTCACCATACATGGCATTTCATTTGCTCTAGTGAAGGCTTATTTCAAGTAACAGCTTAACTATCTCAAATCTTTTCTGGAACACAGATATACTTTTTAAAAATGACAGACTAGGACTGAATTCAACCTGTTTATTTAAAAACTAAATAAATAATTTAGATATTTATAATGTTTCCAAGCCTCTCTGCTGCTTAAAGTTTAAAACTTATTTTTCTCTCATTAGGGCTTGGTAAACTGAAAAGCCAAGGTTAGTAACCAGTTGGTCTCGTATTTGTGTGAAGTGAAATTACACTTCTAGTGTCAGTATTAAAGAGGGATGGTGAGGGTCAGCATTCTGCTTTAGTCTGAGTCACAGGCTGTGGCGCTGGGCCTTCCATCCTTTTGTGTCCACAGCATCTGGCGTAATACTTTGGTCATGACAGATAATTTACCTTTCTGGCTAACTTCACACTGGAACACCTGTTTCTCTTGAACTCTTGCTCTTCTGTTTGTTTACCCCTCTCCCTGATCACCTGGGCTCTTTTGTAGTTCTCAGAACATACTATCTTCTTGCCAGCTTTGGGCCTTTGCACATGGTTCTGGAGACTGCTGTCTACTCCAACCCCACTGCATTATGAGGGGCCACTCGTCACAGTGCTGGTGATGCTGTAAGTTTCCTGTTTCTGATTGTGTCCCTAAATGCCTGTGAGCTCTTCGCAGGTCTGCATGATTTTGCCTGCGCCTCCAGCACCTAGTTTCCTCCCCGGCACATAGCAGCTGCTCTGCAAATATTCCTAAACTACTACATTTAAATTCAAATTCCTTAGCCTGCTTGTCCCATACTAGGTTTGGAACTAAGATCTTTTCCAGCCACGTGACTGGGAAGTAGATAAGCAGTAAAAGCAGGAACTCCTAGGTGAGGAGTTGTTTACGTTACCTTAGTTTCAAATGAAGGATGCCACCTGATTCTTGACTTCTGTTCGGTAGAAAAGGTCTTTGGGTATCTCTAACGAGGGTATTAAAACTATAGTGTGGACATAAAACTCTTAGAAAAAAACAAAGGACTAGGTCTTCATAGCCTTGGATTAAGCAAGCAATGGTTTCTTAGATGAAACAAAAGCACAAGCAGCAAAAAAAATGACTTCATCACAATTAAAAACTTGTGTGCTTCAAATGAGGCATGCCATCAAAGAAGTGAAAAAATAACCCACTGAATGAGAGAAAATATTTGCAAATCGTGTATCTTAACTGTTAAGGAGCTTGTATCCAAATTATAAAGAACCTTCAAAGATCAATAATAAAAAGGCAAGACATGGAAAAAAGAATCTGAGCAGACAATTCTCCAAAGAAAATAAATGTCCAACAAGCATACTCCTTGGTATATACCCAAGAGGACTGAAAGCATGTCTACACAAAACTTTGTATATGAATATTCATAGCATTATTCATAATAGCCCAAAAGTAGAAACCACCCAAGTATTCATCAACTGTTAGACACAAAATGACATCTATACAGTGGAATATCATTCAGCTGCAAAAGTACATTATTGATACAGTTAGAACATGGATGAAACTTGAAAGCATGTTAATTGAAAGAAGTCAGACACAAAAGGCCAAATACATGATTCAATTGATATAAAATGCTCAGAATAAGAAAATACATAATTAGTGGTTGACTTGACGCTAGGGGAATCGGGAATAACTACTCATGAACATAATATGGAGTTTTAGGGTGACAAAATTAGCAATGATTGCACAACTCTGAATATACTAAAAATCACCAAATTCTACACTTTAAAATAAGAGTGGATTTTATCGCATGTGAATTATATCAGTAAAACTTCTTAAAAATGAAAGTAAACATTACCTTAAAAAATTATAGTGTTGGTACTTAGGTTTAAATAGAAATGATAGTCATGTAAAGAGAAGCAGCAAATGGGCAATGGTGGGGCTGACTGAGCAGCTCTTGATTCCTGGACCTCAATCCCATTGCCGTCTGGCCTGTTTGTACCAGCTGCAGTGCTCCTGAAGACAGCTCCACTTAGCTCTCAGCTGCTTGTCCAGTCATGACATGTGGAGCCAGGAACATGTGATGATCAGCGTGTCACTGACCCTGTGGACTACAGCAAGCCTATGCTAAAGGCAGCCATCATGAGGAAAGGAGGTCCTCATCAGCCAGAGAGGGAAGGGGTGAGCAGAATCTTGAGAGAGAAAACCAGACAAACAGGAATGGGTGGGAAAGAGGCAAGAGGGGACGAAGATCTAATAATTGTCTCATTAGTGTCACAGAACAATGACAATCTGTAGGCCAAAATCAAACATATCTTAGTTCTGTGCTGTCCCTCAGAACAGCCCTTTGAGCTTTTACTGCAAAAAAGACAATGGTAACTTTTAATGTGATCTTTTCAAATTTTAGCACTCTAAGTAATGTTCCTAAGTGTATCACTACAGAGATGGACAGTGGGACTCAAAACACGCTTGCACATTTGAGACATTGCTCTGCTTTAAATCTTCCTCTAATTTTCTCAGCAGTGCCTCCCTTTCTTGCTTCTCCCCTGTTAAAGATTAGAAGAGACAGGCTTTCTCCTACCTCACAGAGCAATCTAGTCTGGATGTCACTCCTCCTCTGACTCAGGGCTCTTGGTCGATGGAATAGCCCTGCCTTCTTCATCTTCAGCTTCTCTACTGAATCCTTCCTCTCAGCATTTTTTTTTTTCTTTCAGTAAACCATTTATTGACATATAACACACAGAAATGCTCAAAACTCTGACCATAGGCTTAACTCGAGTGTCTCCACTGGACTTGGAAGGCACCCCGTACCTGCCTCTGCACAGCTCTTCTCACACAGGCTGGTAAGATTCATGCCTGGGTGCCTCGCAGTCTGAGCTCTGTGGGGGCTGTAACCCCAAAGTATAACTCAGCTAGAAAATGTTCGATATGCTTCTATCTGTCCTGGGACTAAACTTAGAGTAAATATAAATAGGAATTTTTCTGAATAATACTAGTTATTTAAAAAGAAAATCCCATTTTTTTCTTTTAAAAAATATTATGGAGACAATCTTTCACAGACTATTTGTTTTAATTAAATACAATTTGTATTCTCTATTTTGATGCTCAAATTGTTACATCTTGGCCCTTAAGAGCCCCCTTTAAGCTGACTGCTTCATTCTTTTGATTCCATCAGAACTTTGAAAGCATCCTCCTTGCTTTCTTACAAAGTCCCAGGACCACCTTTGTTCTCTCAGCCCTAAAATATGGCAGCAGCCACTCTCTAAGAATCCCTGCAGAAATCAGTAATAATGCCAGATATAGAATGTTGGGGATACTTTTATTGAGGCATAGATATGGTATTGCTACACTAGACCACTCCAGAGGCAGAGCTCAGAAACATAAATTCTTAAAAATACTGAGTTCTTATATTTAAAATTTAACATTACCAAATGCCCACTAGAATGTTTTAACCCTTCAACCAAATAACAGTACCTTTTCTTTAACAATTAATTATTCCATTAAGGTTCTTAATTCTAAGAATTACTTGTGTGTTTGGTATAGCCTACTTGTTAAGATTGTAGTCCTTGTGGTCTTACTCCATGGAACCTGGCTGTGCTATTTATTCACTGCTTAATCTTTGGCAATTGTTAATTTCTCTGAGTCTGTTTCTTTACATGTAAAATGAGGAAAATAATACTTACCTCATAAAGATGCTATGAAATAGACTCAATATGATGTACATGAAAAACACCTAGAAGAGTGGATGGCGTATTGAAAGTGCTTAAGCTCTTTCTGCTATAATCATAATTGATCAAAAAAAAATCTATAAAATCTATGAATATCAACACCAACAATAAAACCATTAGATCTAGCATTATTCCATGGTGGCTGTCCCTGAGTGCACCTCACTAATGATGTAGGCCAACTGTTTTGAAGTATTTATAAAAATATTTTTGTTGATTATATTGACAAAGACTCTCTTCTTGACCAAACTTTAGACAATCTTCTCTGAGCTCTCTTTTCAAGTAGGCCTTATTCTTGGGCTCTGTCTTTGGTTTCCCTAGTCCAGTTTTAGTAAGAATCCTGCTAACTCAGTTTGGTGAGAATTCCCCCACCCTTGATGTATCCTCTTAATAATTTCTCATCCATTGATGCCCTCA